AAGGTGGGTATTCAAATAAAGGGGAGCACCTTGCTATCATGAAAACGCCAGCTGTTACCATAGTAGCTGCATGAATCAAAGCGGATACTGGAGTGGGACCCTCCATAGCATCAGGTGACCAAGTATGCGATCCTATCTGTGCAGATTTCCCAACAGCACCAATAAAAAGTAAAATACAAATAAGAGTTATGGCATTCAATCTCATATTGCAAGAAATCCAAGAATTTCTGGGGGCACTAGCACGAGCAAAAATGGTTGAAAAGTCTACTGTTTGAAATAGAGTAAAACAACCCAAAATCCCAGGAGCTAATCCAAAATCACCTACTCGATTGACAAGCATAGCTTTTATAGCTGCTTTATCTGCCTGAAGTCGTGTAAACCAGAAATGAATTAACAAATATGAAGCAAGACCTACTCCCTCCCATCCCAGGAATAATTGAAGAGAGTTATCTCCAGTCACCAACATTGGCATAAAAAAAGTAGGAATGGATAAATAACACATAAATCGAGGGCTATGCGGATCCTCAGACATATATGAAATGGAATAAAGATGGACCAAGCTACTTATGAATGTAACCACAATTAACATCACTACGGTCGGGCTATCGAACACGGGGTCAGAAGTGAATTACGAGTCGGACCAATCTGCGAATCGAGCGAGCTCCCCTTGCATGCAATGATGTGGTGGTAAACCTCTCATTCTAATTCAGTGCTCTCCGAACCGTGCGGGAAGGTTTCCCATCACACGGCTCACCAACTTGATCTTCCGCGGGAACCGTATGTCCGAACAGGCCTGGAAAAAAAGGTAAGGTCTCGCTTTCCTTTGCCACTCAAGTGTACGGCATCTGCCGTGCTTAGGCCCCTTCTTCCCTTACCTAATGAAAGAGTCCACCGCCTGCCTTAGTAGTCTCAAATAAGGCGTGCAGGCCTGCCCCTTTAGTAGGTGATTCACTACCGAAGCGAAGAAAAGGCTGGATCAATCAAAGGGGGTACTACGAGCCCTCTGCCCCACGCATCTAACCAGCTCGCGTGGTTCACCGGTTCCACCGACTAGACCAAAAGAGTGATTCAGTCGATACAGAGGTGCGCTTGAAGTGGGGGGTGTGCTGTCCCTATTGGGCTGGGCCCTTCCCCATAAGGCCCCACCGTCGGGGCATAAGCGCCCTCTTGCTACCCATATGCGAGGCGCCGTCTTAGCCTTCCCTGACCAGGATCGCTCCCACACCTGTAGCGTTCGTGATCGGCCTCCTCAACTGTGTATCGATCGAAAGGCAGGGCGGCACAGCCCCCAACCAAGGGAGTGGTTACGTCCAGTATGTCCCCCCTTATTCCCGACATGCTATGGTACCCCGGAGTGGGTAGGAGCGGGTCGAGTCCGTATCGCCGCGGAGCAACAGCCGCGTCCGGATCTGATCTATTTACTCGGCAATTCATCCGGTGACTTCACGGTCGCCAAAGAAGCCCCAAGAAGCATCAAACATTTCCGATGAGATCCATGGAGCAATTCTTAGATAGCAAGCACTAGCTCCCGGTGCGACTTCATAAAAAGCAATCAAAGAGAAGATCGAAGAGAATGAAACGCACGTAGTGGTTATTATAGCGGTTCCTTCTTTTCCTAGAAAACGTCCGAAACAACCTGCTACAAAACTACCGAGCAGGGGTAAAAATACGATAAGTAGATACATAATTTCGAGTGTGATCAGACAACCAAAAATCAGACAATGACAGAGCGGCCTGTGATTGAGTGATAGATTGATCGACGACGGAACGAAGAACGAAACTTTACGACAGCTTTTTCGTAAACGTTCACTTGCATCACATCATCTTCAACCAACCTCCACCCGAGAAGCCCATGGGATCCGCTCTACAGATACCATCAAATCCCAGTTTCCGAGATACCACATCAGCCCTATCACCACTAATCCTAGGTTATCAGGGGACGCTAGGCATCGGAATTCAAAAAGTTCTCTTTTTTTTTGTCAGCGGATTTCGCTCATCAAGTTCTTCTTTGATCTGCCGCTGTTAGAACACCACAATATTCGTCTTTTTGGGGTTAATGTTCTCAATGGTGAATCGATCATTCGATATCCTTTTCCTTCTGCGACGGAATGGAAGAAAAGTAATGAAACCTGCGATGGCTACTGAATAACCTCCTTTTACTTTCTCAATAATAAAGCCTTTGACCTTTGTATTCGTTCGCCAAATCTTGTTCAGTTCCATCCAAGCTCGGTTTTGTCTGAATCTTCGTGGAAGAAGAAGAAGCAGTTCACCAGCCACTACATCTGTAAATCCCACCAAATCATTAAACCTGGCANTGGAAGAAGAAGAAGCGGTTCACCAGCCACTACATCTGTAGATCCCACCAAATCATTAAACCTGGCGGCTGCTCGCTCTTTGATCAGTGATTCACCGGCCACTAGATCGATGAAGAATCTCTCTAAAATCTGCTCTTTGATCAGTGATTCACCGGCCACTAGATCCAGGAATCCCACCTTATTCTCAAACCTGGTGGCTCGGTTGATTGGCACTCATATAGGCTCATCTTGCATACAAATTCTGGGGGTCCCAAGTCTTGTATCTACCAAGAACATTTCTTCCCTTAAGCGTAAAACTTCAGATTGTAAGGCGTTTCCACTACATAAAAAAAAACTGGAATTAGATCTTGGAAATGATCGACTCAAATAGATGCTCATCATAAGCTCTTTTTTTTCCTCCTCTTCGTGTTCTATTGATCAGAAGCATCCAGCAGTGCCACGCCAGTAGAAAGAGTCTTGCTACTAAGCTAAGCTGCTGTTGGGGAACTTGGTATAAGCGATTTTCCGCTTCCGCCTTTCTAGGCTTCACAATAGCTCCCCTTTTCTTTTTCAATTCCTTCTTTTCGTTCTACTTAGGTGCAGTAATCCGAACTCTCAACAGAATATAAAAGAGGACCACAGGCCTGTGTAAACACCTCAACGAACTCATGTGGATACTCCTCAGCCCAAGGACAATCTCTCAAATACACATGTTGATGTTGTTGACCCGTTTTTCTTTTCTTTGCTGATTCCTCTCAATGAAATTTTCCATGTTGCACTAAGTTACTTACGGATGTATGCATGCGGTCCGGGAACACTTTGGGGTGAACACCCATCCGAACAAGTAGGGTAAATAGTTCAGCATTTAGGANTCCGGGAACACTTTGGGGTGAACACCCATCCGAACAAGTAGGGTCAATAGTTCAGCATTTAGGCCGTAACATTTAGCAACAAATAAATATTTAACCCAACAAGTGCTCTCCGAACCAAGCTAGATAGTCTCCTATCACTAGGCTCACCAACCAACCTGGACTTTTTTTTTATTATTCCTACCGGATATCAAAACAAACCATAAGGATTGTTTCCAGCCATGAGTTCCCCTATGACATAAGTGCTCTTTGGTGGGGTGGGCCATTCCATCAAATCTTTGAGAAGGGGCCCAATCTCGTATTTGATGGTCGGCATGGCGATAGGCTTCGTTTCTACGACTGCCTTCCCAGCCGTTGAAAGACTGAGCGAGAATGGTAAGGGGCGCACAAACAAAGAATGTCGTTGTGCGGGGATGCGATTCGCCAAGCTGGGGCAAAGAAAGCCATCCGACCCTACCAAAGTACCAAAGGCTTTCGAGGCTTACACCTCCCTATTACAGGACCTAAAAAAAGGCTTTCAGTGGCGCCCTTAGAATTTAATTTGAAGCGCCAGTAGTTGTAGCTGTGGCCACACCAACCCTTTCGTTCTTATCGCTCCGGATTCCGATCTATATGACCTCCGGGCGGTACAAAGTAAACCTCTTCCGTAGAAGAAGGTAGTAACCTAACCTTTAAGAATTTGTTCAAGGGGGGACCCTCTGATGTATCAATGGAAAGATCTCCATGTATGGCGTGATAAGGAATCCTAGAAAAGATCGATTGAGACTCCCTCCACGGTCCCACGAAGATCTCTACATACTTGTCCAGGACAAGTGATATATTTGGTCTGCGTGCCTGGGAGAAGCTCAAACAAAGAAGAGTCTGGTCCGGTCTGAATTCAGGCACGGCCCGCCAGTCTGCTGCTAGGTCCGGAAATGGCGTTGGGCGAGGGCGCCGCTATGCCCCTTAATGAATCGAATGGTCCTTCGACCTTCGTTTGATTCCGACGGCCGGCATAGATCTCATGAGACCCGCCCACTATTCCCCTTGATGGTTCATTAATGCCCTTTGATTTAGACTCTTTCCCCCTTCTCAACGTAGAAAAATATCGAGAGGGGCCCGAAAGCCCCAAAGAACGGAAACGGAATTCGATTCACTCCCCATTATCTCTTAAATAAATAAAGCTCGCCCTGGGCCGGGTCTTTCCCTGTTGTTCTGTTCTTGCCACGAGAAAGACGCACGAAAGAGGTATTCCCAGCGCGCGGAGGATCCGTTGAGAGTTTGTCTCGGTAGAGAACTGTACGATCTTTTCCCCTATTGTATTGAATCAATAAAAAAAAGAGGTCAGTGCTACGGCCCCCTATTGTTTGATCCAATATTGACCGGGGACGAGCCCCCACATCCATAGATCCTTGGTTTGACCTCTCGTAGTGGTCCTTGCTTTTAAGAAAGCGGAGCAGGACCAATTTCTCGTACTTGCACAGTGTGCCCCCCTTTCTTCGAGTACCCCGCCCGGTTCACTAGGCTGTTGGCTTACCAAGCACTTGCCCGCTACTCCTTCTGCCCGCTTGGTGGGTGGAGCGCTCGTTATCCTGACTTTTCTCTCTACTGGGGCCCTCCCATTGCTATAGCCATAAGCTATGGCAGCTCCAGCTCGCAACCACAGGGTCCCGCCCCGCGAGGCCAGAGTGGGCTCAGCGGTCAGCCTCCATTCGAATTATGTTAGGGGGTCTTTCGCTTTTGCCAGATCTAGAGATATACTACAAGTCCTCCGTCCCAGATTCCATCGCTGCAGCCATCTAGTTCACCGGTACTACCAAAAAGTCTCATGCTTACATTACTGTTATTGATGGTTTGATTATCTTGGACCACGAGGACCCCAGTCGTGCTTCTGGTTTCCATTCCAATCATCATATTGATGATAAATCTCCTCGTGCTCTGCCATAAGAACTTGGAGTTCGTATCATGGTGAAGATAAGGTAAGGCTATGATTCTTGCTCAAAAAACAGACCGAACGCCTTCGAGTTATTGGCTCGTCCAACCCGGCAGCATTCATGAGTCGCTAGTTCAACTGTCCCTCGGAGACAGGGTCGAGAAGTACCATGCATGGTTGCCCCCCGTCCTTTCTTTCTATCAGTCTCACCCAGCAAGCCACCCCAACCCTACAGCCAAAAAAGGTAAGCGCCTAGCGCGAGCCTTATTTATTAGTTTAGTAAAGTCAAGCTTTGGCTCCCTAAAGACTAAAGAAATGCATAAAAAAGGGGGGGGACTTACGCAACGGGCTATGCCACCCAAACCAACTGAGGGAAGTCGCATCCGTCCCATTGCAAGCACCTACAATATCATGATCACATTGGTTTACCCTAGTTTCTTTGGTAGTTTAACGTACGGTCGCCCCTCCAACAAGAAAAGGTATAAATATGGAAACTTCTCTGCCATTTGGATCGGAGAATTTATGGAGGAAATCGGGTTTTAAATTCCCAGAAACCGCACGATTATATAGCCAAAGGGAATAGGCCGCGCCTAAAATCATCCCAAGCGCTGCTAATGTGGCTACTAAGCTATTTCTTTGGAAAGCTCCTACTAAGATGAGAAATTCCCCGATAAAGCTGCTAGTACCAGGTGAACTCATATTGGCCAAAGTGGAAGAGAAGAAAATGGTAGAGAGATTCGGCATGGTGCTCACTGAACCTCCGTAATATCTAACAAGTCGAGTCTTATGTCGGTCATATAGAACACCAACACATAGAAAAAGGGCTGAAGAAACCAGTCCATGACTTGACATCGGTAGAATACTACCTCCAATTCCCTGTATGTTCGATAGAGCCAAAGATTCCCCCCACTGATCGGAGTACGCCGATTACCCCCTGAACCGTACAAGATAGTTATCACCTATCATACGGATTTCTAACTTAACTTCTTTTTTCTGGTCGTTCCGCTCTGTCGATCGATGGTAGTATAAGAGATCTGTAATCCCCCAGAAATTTTTTACATAATGGTTCCTGCTTCCTACCCATAGTTAGCATGTATCTCCCCCGGTCATACTTTAGTATCACATCGTAGACCCCCACCCCAACGCTATCTTCCTTATCAGTGAACCGGAACATAGTGCATAGGTACTCTTCAATGCAGCGGGGACGAGACGACGTGACATACTACGATCACATACAGAAGTGTTGTCCTTCGTCTCAGCAATATGGAACCTCTCAACATCTCCCGTTCTTTTATGGGGTCCTATCGGAATAGGTAGGCCCAAGCCTTTGCCCTCCCCTCTCCCTCCATAAGACCCTCTTTTTCTTTCCCTCTCGGGAAAGAAGATAAGAAAGGATTCATTTTTTTCTTTCATGTGAACGGCCCTATCTTGTATCGAAAGGTTTTTCGTGCTATACACCACATTGAGAAAGACCAACCTCCTATGTACCGAACTCTTTTTGTACCTCGAAAGGGGGGTCCTCCTTATGATGCTACAGATGGCTGTCCGAAGTGCAAGGGGTAAACCCGGACTCGGATAGGATAGGATTGTGCGCGCCAGGCCCTTTGGGTCTCATATTTTGGCCGAGTTTACCGTACCTCCGTCCCCTATGTTAGGCGGCCGTAATATTTTGTTACGTTCTACCGCTGTTACGCCAGAATAAAAGGTTCCACACGAGCTCCCGTTCTGCGGCGTGGTGGCAGGACCGCTAGGGGAGTGGCTCCGGGTATAGATAGGGTTAAATCTGCAGGGGTCATGCAAATACATAGGCCCCTTCCCTTCTCTTTTGGATGAATGGGTTGGTTTAGAAGGCACTTTCCAATCTACGGTCCCTCGGAGCGAAGGGTTAGGAAGGTAGTATGGGCCCTCTGACTTCCAGCTATGTGTTGTGCGGCTCCCGCGAAGCGAATGAAGGGAAGCTCGAAGCTTACGCTTACTCTCAGCCTCTTTGATTTGTAGGTGGGCGGGCTAAGCCCCCTACTTAAGATTCAATTCATAAGGCTAATTTTATGTTGTCGTGAGGCTTTGGTTAGGCCGACTACTATAGGCTAGCTACTTCTAGCTTCTATACTGGCCCTTCCACTTTGGTGTAGTTTTAGTTTGTATTGGTACTGAATGAACATATGAAACAAAGGCGAGCAGTATAAGCCCTTCTCCGGCCTGGGAAAAGCAGTGAACTCTAGAAGCTAGGGCTTTGTTCACCTTTGGGCACGAACACTATTCTGTTCTCAGCGGAAACCCGCCTTAGAGATTGAACGGCAATAAGATAAGTCAACGTTCAATCTAAGACAGCGCTGAGCGCTGATAGCTTGTAGTGAACAGCCCCATTATTAAACCAACCGAAAGCAGCCTTTGGTACTTAAGTAGTTAAGGTTTGGAACCCTTGCAACAATGATAGAAAGTCGTTTACTTATTGCCAAACCCTTCGCCTTTCTTTTGAATCAAAGTAGGTCGCGATTGTTGTATTTTAGTCGGTCGGGTGAAGCGGTAGCTTCGTGCTCTGCTTCTCTCGCGCTTGTNAGTCGGTCGGGTGAAGCGGTAGCTTCGTGCTCCGCTTCTCTCGCGCTTGCTTGCGTGAAGGCTTAGAGCCCTTTTCGCTAGGTCCAAAAGCTTCCCAAAAGATCTGATCCAACAGAAATCCCGCATTGAGCGTAGCTGATATGCGGCTACGGCTAGCCGATCATATCATTCCATAAAAAAAATCTATATGTATAGAGAGATCCCCTAGATATACAGATAGAATAGATGTTCATAGATAGACAGACATTCCATTGATTCTTTGTTTTTGGACTGAAAAAGCTCGTCGATCCAAATGAATCATTCTTCTGGTCTCTATTCGCTCCCCACCTCGAAACTGACCCACTGCACAGCGCCCATTTGCTTTTTGCGTGGGAAGGCAACGAAGTTCAGTTCATGAGACCGCAGCACAGCGGAGTGGAGTAGCCGCGACATGAAGTTCCTTACCTTAGCTGGATCTCGTTGGTGCCACCTAAATAGTAGGTAGGTTGCGGATGTGTGACGTTTGGAGTTGTCGTTCGTGCACCTGTACCCAATGGAAGAATGAGTGATCTGTTCCCCTGCGGATCATGGCCTTACCACTGGGTCCCCGATGGCCAGTGGGGGATTCAGTATAGCAGCTCAGGCTCGTTTGCACTGCGCGTTCCCGCTGGACTGGACACATGTTAGCTGTAGGAAGTATGGTTCCGAAAGTGACTTTGGTTCACCAGTTCAGGCTCAACTCCTCGGTTTACGTTAGTGGACCTACAGGTCGGGCCGGGGCTCTGTGCTCTTTCTTTCTATGTGGGACAATACCGGGGAGAGAAGGGAATGCGTCGAGGCGGCGAACAAGACAACTACATTTTGGCTTTTCCCTCCATGAGATAAGCCTAGTGCATTGGACCGATGGATAAGAGAACTGAGCTGGCCTAAAAAGCGCTTGGGCGCTCTACGTACGATGTAGACTCCATCAGATACATATCGATTTCTTTCTGATGGATCAAGAATAGATAGTTGTCTCATCAATAGATAGAAATAGGAGATTTCCCCTTATTCTTGAGAGATTCCCTCTCTATCTCTTTCGATCTATCAGAACAGATCAGGCTATCTATCAATCGATTTGAAAAGAGCACGCTCATCTCGCTTTTCGTTCATTTTCGCCACGAAAACATAGCCGCCATAATAAGAAGCAGGCGAAGCAGCTAGAAGTACTCGCTTCACGCCCTTGAATTATTATTCACGAATGAATTGGGAAAGCCAACAGAAAGATTTGATTCTGACTTCGTAGAGCTGGTGCTGTTGTTGCCTACGCGTAGGGCCATCCCCCACTCCCGTCCCGGGGCGTTAAGGGGCTTTTGTTTTTGGAACAGACAACAGTGTTTTGCTGACGCCTCGAATCAAGCTTTTATTGCGACATGTTATGCTTTCTCCCCCATTGCTAGTAGTCTATGCTTTCTCCCTCAGTTATTAGCACTGGGTATTTAGTGCTAATAACAGATTCACGCGACATTAAACTATTTGATCTTAAATGGGTAACCTATGAAATGTGTGAAGAGGATTGGCAAGAAAGGCAAGCTTAGCCCACGGTATATTGGACCTTATAGGATTATTCGGAGAGTGGCCTAAGTAGCTTATGAGTTAGAATTTCCCTCGGAATTGGAGTCTATCCATCCGGTTTTTCACATATCTATGTTACGGAAGTGCATTGGCGTTCCTACCCGAGTAGTGCCCACGGATGATGTACAGATTACATAGAACTTATCATACGAGGAACTTCCGATTGCCATCGTAGACCGAAAAATCCGCAAGCTGCGGAATAATGAGGTAGCCTCCATGAAGGTACTTTGGAGAAACAACAATGTGGAAGAGACGACTTGGGAGGCCGAGGAAAATATGAAGTCTAGATATCTCTGCTTATTTACTCCTCCAGAGAAGGGTCCAACTGAGACGTCATAATTATAAGGTACGTATATAAATTCTTGTGTTGAATATTGTCATTAGTCATGTGAGGCCATTGTCGTTATTGATAATTGTGGTCTAGGATGGCGTTGGATTATTAAGCTTCTACAGGGAGAGTTGGTAGTAGTGTCCTTATAAAGGCGACCTTGCCAAAGTTATATGGATCACGGGGAGTAGAACATTCGAGGACGAATGTTTCCAAGGGGGAAGGATGTTACATCTCGTGTTTTTCGTACGTTAAAATTTCGTCTCCAGTTAATTGACGTAGACTCGGGGGTGAGATCATCTCGATGTTAACGTATTTACGATATTTATAACAAGTGATAAATAAAGTGTCATGAAGGATAAAGGATGCACGAATTAGAGAAAACAAGTTTCATTGAAAATGGCCAATTTGGGATAAAATACGGATCAAGTAATAATACCCGATAATTATAAACTAGTATCATACAAGGTACCATATGACCACGGTAATATAATATATAAATTATATATGGAGTATTTTGAAAATAAATAGAATTTTAAGTAAGTTGCGGTAATTTTTAAATTATGCGGGTAATAAATTAATTACCGGATAATAAAATATTATCCAGTTAACTAATAAGTGGATAAAAATTAACAAATCACCCCCAAGAGAACGTGGAAGCCTCCCCCCCCCCTTAAGGTGACTCATTGTTCACCTTTACATGTGTCTTTAAAGTTTCAAAAGACTAAATTATAAGTCTTATCAAGAAGACTTTTGTAAGCAATATCCAAACATTATGCCTTTGATTTTAAAAACCAAGAACCTTATTTGCTCAGGATTCAAGTGAATCAAAGTAAATTCTTTCAAATTTTAGAAAGAATTAGAAACATTTTCCACCTAGGATTTCAAACCAAAAAAGGACGTTGGAATAGTTTATCCGCTTGGTGCATTGTTTAAGTTTGCTGCCATTTAGTACCTGAAGTTGTGACACAAACAAATTAGTAACAAATAAGGAAAGAAGAATAATACATAAAATGATTTATATAGATAGCCAAAACCGTTAGCTCTCCGGCAACGGTGTCAAAAAGTTGATCGAAGCCAACCCTGCACTACTATTGAGTAGCGAGAGAGGTCGAAGCAGCTTTTACCTGATTTTACGTCTAATTTTATAATACTACAATGCTAAATTAGACCAAGTAAATCTAAGATTAAACTATTGGTGGTGGCTGGGATCTGTTATTAGCACTCATTTATTGCGATCCTAATAAAAGCTTGGTGGTGGCTAAGATCGCAATAGTTTAATCTTGTTAGTGGTACTGGGTATTTATAATACTACAATGCTAATAACATTCTCATTCTTGAATTCCTGTCATGTGAATCTATTGATTCTAGT